GTTTGTTATTTGGGTTTTTAGTCACCCTGTGCTTTAGTTGTGAGATTTAATTTGTGTTGTCCATAATAAATCCTTGTTCAATTGTCAAACATTTAGTGCTGCATTTGGTTTGGGGGAACAGAGAGGAAACATTTATTTTGGTGTTTTGGTAACAAACTGAACAATATTATCAGGATTGCCTTTCATTGTGTTGTCATTTTCATGGTAGTGTCTCTAATTTAGTAACATAAAAACAACTTTATGGATTTTTTTTCATGACATTATATTTAAAGATAACAATTTGTGGGGGCGCCAATAGCCTAGTGATTAGGGTACGCGCTAATGATAATAAACTCGTAAAGTTACGACTTTATTCTCGAAATGTAATTATTATTTTTTTTAATGTGGCCCTAATCCTCAGTTGTACTAAATAAAGGCATAAAAAATGCCCGAAATAAAAACTTTAAAGCAACTTCTATTTTTAGTGCTTGCCAGGAATTTGAACTCTGACATAATGATTAATCCTTAATGATGGTAATAATAATAATTACTTTAGCCTCATGACAGGAACTGTGGAAATTCAGTTTGGAAAATAAAACCTGCACACCAAAACACGTTTGTAGATAAAGTCTGTTTTGAGGAAAGGATTTTTGAGAAGAGAATTGTATCAACAGTTCATGTTTACTTTCAAATAGCCGACGGTTCAGACACATTTCATTGGAAGTGCGACACTTTTAAATATTGATTTAGCGTGGAGCTCTTTCTGTGTCATACAGTTGTGTGAATGGAATTTCACTGACGCCGGACCACATGACTAAATGATCGATACCCCAGCATGTGAGGGGAAGTGTGTGTTAGTGTGAGTGTGTGTATGTGTCATATTTCTGAACCTAATGCTCTGATAGCAGTCAAACTGAAGAGCCTAATGGTGTCTTTGTTTGTACTTATCTCAACTTACATCAACAGTACGCAAAGGATGAAGAACAACTGAATGAGGATTTCTGGGAATGTAATGACACAATATGATGCAAAGAATAATTTAAATGTCTGCCAGAAACTTTTAGGAAAAACACAGACAACCTCATACCTTAGCTTTAAAAAAGCAGCCCTCAAATCCAGCACAGTGTGATGCTACATACTGCTTTATTTTTGGTTTCAGACAATGAAGGATCCAAACAAAGGCTCAGAAGACAGCGATGAGGGACGAGAAAATGATAGCAAAGGTATTTCTCATATTGCCTGAGAGACAATTGATGAATCTGTGTAGCAGATGTGTATTTACAGTAGTTGTATATAAATAACAGTTAAGGCAATCATGCTTTTTGTCCGTCTCAGAGGTGAAAACGAGCCCGTCTCAGTCAACTCTGGCTCTGGTTGAGGAGGAGCCGGAGGATGGGGACCCATGGGACATGCCAGAGCTGAAGGACACCGGGGTCCCGTGGTCAGGTGAAGACTTAATGTGACATTATTACTCGTCCAAGTACAGGATTGTCTTATCCTTATGTTTATAAGGGAAGGGAGCATTTGCCGATTAGATATACACCGGCCAGTGAGATATGATAAACAAACCCACAATGTTACACAACCACACAGGAGGCAAGTAGAGTCATCTGTTTGTGTGACTCTCCCCAACAACATTAACACAACAGTAGAGTCATATATTTATTTTAATACATCAAGTATAGTAAGCAGGTTCCTACCAAACCATTTGATTGGACAAGAGTTCTGACACAGGGGATCTCCTTCCTGCTAGTTTTGTCACTCTTTAACTACTTTAAGCTTAGCCCCATGAAGCAGTAAATACTCACTCAACTATGTATTGGATGTATAAGTCATATGGATATTGCAGACAAGGCCGCACATAAGGGGTGAAAAAAATAGGATAGCTTTCCGGGGCCCAGTCACATGGGGAGGGCCCATGGAGGTTAACAACAACATGGTCCAGCCTCTTTTTAAGCATCAACGACCAAATTTTATTTTACACCCTGATAGAGAACAAAGCAAATTATGTATTTTTGTTGGCCAACCTGGAAGTAGCATCGCCATGGGGTCCACTGAGAATTTGCCTAGGGGATTTTTGAAGTGGATTTCGGATCATTGCAGAAAACAAGCTCTGAGGCAAACAAACGTTTCTGATGAGCAGGCGTTTTGTTTGCGAGGATAATCTTCACAAATGAACACCATTTACGCATTTCAAAGATCATAAAAATGGTGTTCATTTGTGAAGATTATCCTGCAGAACAAAACGCATACCCACAATCCAAAATCCACTTCCGGGTTGTCCTACTAACTTACGTCATTTGGTTTGTTCTCTATACTCAGCATTACTTCTTAAAGCAACAAAAACACACATTTTATTTATTGTTGCTTCAGTAAAATGTAATCTGTTTCGGTTAAGAAATGTGAATCACCTCTTCTTAAAATGCAGAGCCTTTTTTTGGTAATGTTATCAACGTAAACCAAGTGAACTTAACTGTTGTGCCAGTTGTGTCAGAGAGAGTAGGCTTTAGTCATCCCAGGACCTGCACAAAGTACGGATGTCAGAAAAGAAAGAAGAAGAAAAGGTGGAGCTCTGGCATTTGACCCCAACAAAAACTTGTTAATAAACGTATTTCAGGCCGCACTCATACTAGCAAAGTTGTCCCGTACCGTGCCAGTAAGCTCCAAAGGAGCCAGGCAGAAGGAGCTACTATTAGCCAGGAGGCTAGTGCTAACAGTACTGATCCAATGTGCATAAGTTGATTTAAATCATATCCTGCAGGGAGGGCCCATTCACTGGGCTTTTCAGGGGCCCCGCCATTACTGCGGGCAGGTCTGACTGCAGAGAAACACAACTATGATATTAAAGAATATTTTATGTTAAGTGTAAATAAGAGCTACATTTACTCTACTCTGATAATCCAATCAGTGTATCTTACCCGGTTATCTAAAAATTATAAGGGTCATGACTAATAATGGGTGTGACATGAAGACAAGATGTCAAAGGTATGCTGTGGGTTTGTTTATCTGTTGCTGTTGATTAAGTTCACCCATTTAAACATATCATTATCTTTACTCCAAATAGGCTACTGCAAGAGCGATGTAATAAATGTGTTTATGGCTATATCAGTGGCTGCATTTTTTTAAATTTATCTTATCTTTATTTATTTCAGATTTTTTGTTGTTGCTTTTGTTCCTGTTTTGATGTTCTTGCAATGAATCCTTCCAAGCTTAACTTCTTAATCATTTTCACAGCAGCTTTAAAAATGTCACAGCATGACGACCACAGGTGAAAGTAATGACATAATGAAAGTAAGACACGGCCTAACAATAGACTTAAATGATACAGACTCACATTAAGACCATAATGTTTCCAGCATGGAAAGGGAACGTTAAATAAATCTTTAACAATGAATTAAAACGTATCTTTTTTTCTTTTCTTTTTTGGCTTTGTGTTTAATCTCCTTTAATTTCTCTGTCTCAGCTCTGGACACAAAAGGGAAGGTGTTGCGAGTCTTCTTGTCCATTGCGAAGTTGATCATGCTGCTGAGTTTCCTCTACATGTTCATCTGCTCTCTGGACATCCTCAGCTCAGCTTTCCAGCTTGTTGGAGGTAAACACCCTTTTTTTTTATACTCCCGACATACATTTGCATAAAGACCGTAAGAAGAACCATATTGGCTCTTTTAACTGCAGATGTTTTGACTTCTGACTTAGAGCCAGACCTAATACGATTATAAGCTTTATCAAAAATTAAAGCTTTAATCCTTCTCTTAAAAGTAGAAAAGGTGTCTATCTCACAAACTTCAAAACTAAAGGAGAGGGGAGCTGGACAATTGAAGGGTCTACCTCCCATACTACTTTTGCAGAGTTTAGTTTACCAGAAGTAGGCCTCTGTTTAGGAGCATAACGTCCCAAAGGGATAATACGGCACAATGAACTCTTTAAAATATGATGGTGACTGACCACTTAGACCACTTTTTTGTAGGTTAGAAGAAGGATTTTAAATTTGGTTCTAGATTTTATAGGGAGCCAGCGCAGAGAAGCTAATTCTTGTAGTTCTTGTAAGTACATGTTCTGCAGAATTTTTGATCCACTGAAGAGTCTTTATCAACCCATTACGGCAGCCTTACAATAGGGGAATGTAATAATCCAGCCCAGAAGCGATAAATGCACAGACTAGATCTTCTTCATATTATTGGGACAGGATATGCTGGAGTCCTTGGAATTGTCATGGAAGTTGAAGGAGTTATCCTGAACAAACAGAACACCCAGATTCCTAATGGCGTTGCTGAATGTCAGGCTGATGTCATCTCTGGCAGCTATATGGTTCAGACAACGTTTGTATTTGTTGAAAATATGTATTGCGTCAGAAGAGCACAGGTTAACGACTTCGTCACTCCTCACAGTTTTAATTTACATGCAGAAATTTGAGAAGTGATGGGATGATATATTTTAAACCCCGAGTCAGAGCCTACAGGTGGATACTGGGTTGGTGGTGGACCTGAGATAGACAGCAGTACTGGTGCAGGTCAGAGCTGGCAATGAAAGATCAGAGGCAGAGACCAAAAATCTTGCTGTTTAAATAGACCGCTAATTGGAAGGAGGTGTTGTTTTGCGGATAATGACGCATGTTAAGTGTGAAATCTGTACAGCCTGAAATAGCTCGCAGGCGTCCCTTCATTTTTGGTCTGAGTCAAGAAGCAGAAAATCGCTTATCATCCAGGTTTAATGTCCTTAAAGCATGTTGGTCTTAAGTGATTGGTCTCATTTTGCTTCATTGGTAAGTATAATTGAGTGTCGTCAGCATAAGGAAGCATATGAAGACGATGTGCCCGATCACAAAATCTTGGGGTGTGTAGAGTCTTTTCATTAACATTTACAGATTGATGTTTATCTTAAAGATAGTGTCTAAACCAGTTTAATGAAGTTCATGTATTGCCAATAATCGTTCTAGCCCATATGATAGTCAAATGTGTAAATGGCAGTACAAAGATTGGCCTACTTTTTTTTTTTCTTAACGTAAATGCTTATGTGTTGACTTTGTCCAGGAAAAGCCGCAGGTGACATCTTTCAGGACAACTCAGTTCTGTCCAATCCTCTCGCCGGTCTTGTCATTGGTGTTCTGGTCACCCTGCTGGTCCAGAGCTCGTCCACCTCCTCCTCCATTGTCGTCAGCATGGTGTCCTCTGGATGTGAGTGTCACACCTCTCAATCAAACACATAAATATCCATCCACAGAATATATGTGTGTATGAAATTTTGAGATCTAAAGTACGGTGGGGACTGATGATGAAGTGTGCTTTGGCAGTGCTTTCGGTCCAGCTGGCTGTTCCAATCATCATGGGCACCAACATCGGCACCTCTGTCACCAACACACTGGTTGCCATGACACAGGCTGGTGATCGCAGCACCTTTCGCAGGTAGAGTACAGTCCTGAAAAGCCATAAAATGTTTTTTTTCTCTCAAGAAAATTATCTGCTGCATTGAATAACAAGAATACTACACAGAGATAAAATATTCACATGAAACAGTTTCAAAAGTTTGACCCTGAAAAATTATCTTTTATAGCTGCAGTCGAGTCTAGTTAAGACTCGGACAAAAAACTTCTTTTCTCAAAGACTCTAAAAAAGCTGATGAAGTTGCAAATTGGAAAGACACTCTAAAAAAGATTTATCAGAACACAATTTTCAATATCTAATCGAACAAATTAAGTCATTAACAAATTAATATTATTATTTATGACCCCGCAGGTTTATCTTTTTACTGCAGTATTAGTCATACTTATCTATTTGCGTATGGGGTTTATCCTGGACAGCAATAATAAAGAGATCAAAGGTCATTTTACGTTGCATTTATGGGCCTCCTTTCACGTGCACACAGGGCTTTTGCAGGAGCCACAGTGCACGACTTCTTTAACTGGCTCTCTGTGCTGGTGCTGCTGCCTCTGGAGGTCGCTTCTGGTTATCTGTACAAGGTCACCAAGCTCATCATCGACTCCTTCCAAATCCAGAGTGGAGAGGCCCCAGATCTGTTAAATGTGATCACTGACCCCTGACCGACGCTATTATAGAGGTACAATCTAATTTTTGGAAGACGTTGTTACAATGTGTACAATGTATGGACTAAATAATGATACAAATAATACATTCTGTTTAAGATGTGAGCGATTGGCCACAAGAATGTATCAGACATATTATCAGGAGGCCGATTGTTAGTATTTGTATTGGTTCTACTTCCTTAAACAATTACTGAGTGCATCTGAAAAATATGTTATTGTAAGACACACACTATACATATATAGACCCCAAAGCCCAAACAGGACCCGTAGACATGCATGTGGAGAGATGCCAGAGTCAGGGGGCTGCACAGGGTTTGGTGCCATAAAAAGTTGGTGGGACAGGTTTCCAATCCAAGTCCCAACAGACTAAAACACTGTTGCCCTCAATGATATAGTATTGTCATGCAATATTATCCTCTGATTCTCTTTTTGTCTCTGATCTAGCTGGATAAGTCTGTCATTAGTCAGATTGCCACCGGAAACCCAGAAGCCAGGAACAAGAGTCTCATCAAGAAATGGTGCCAAACCTTCACAAACACAGTGAGAGCAAAACATGTCCGCCATATGTGCCCGATATTCAGAAACATCCAGGTGAAAACGTTAATTTCATCCAACCGTCCCTTTCTTTCAGACTGTAAAGAACGTAACAGTTCCTGGACCAGAGAACTGCACATCTCCGTCATTCTGCTGGGAAGATGGCAACGACACATACACGCTGAAGAACATTTCAGAGACATTCAATATCCAGAAATGTAAGCATGAAGAGAATTTATACCAGACAATGTATAAACTGATCCAGAAGGATAAATAACCAGTTAACCTTGACGAGCATTTAATCTGCCGAACAGATGTTTACAAAGATGTGGATTCATCATAAGTAAGTCATACTTGAAAGACGGATAGCTGAACAGCACTGCTTGCTTTCTTTGAAAAGAAAAGAAAATGTCTCAGTTGATAAGACTATGTATATCCTCTTCTCCTCTATCTTATGTTAACCTCTCACTTAGATAAAGATGAGACCTACTTTTTGACGGCTCCTAGAAATAAACATTGCACAAAAAGTAAGGAAATTTGTATTTGGTAGGTTATTTCTTGGTTGTAACAATGCTTCTTGGCAATAAATCTTAATCCGTTAGAAAGCCTGTTTAAATCGTCCCACATTTGTAAGGAACATGCATTTGTGGGATGAGCAGCAGAGCTGAGAATGTGGGTTGCGCCCATGAAAAACTTCTCTGCCTATGCCAAACAGATTATTCTGCTGTCGACTCTTGTTTGGTGTCATGGCAAGTTAAACATCTTACAAGCGTTTGCATACAGTTTTTTCTAAAAATTGTGACTTTGCACATCCATCTTTTTTGTGCACTTAAAGAATCAAGCTAAGAAGATTTATATGTTGACAAATTGTGTTACAAAAACGTCATGCCACACCTGCATGAGGTGAGTATTAGGCTGGCAACCCCAGTTACAAAAGTCTGGCCACGCCCTGTGTTTATATTGTTTCCATTGTCTGAGTCTATATACCTATGTTTATTTTTTTTTTAACCTGGCTGCAAACCAATCATATTCCTTCATTTAAATGTGTGTGTTTTTGTATTTGTTTTTCAGGTACACATCTCTTTGTGAATGTAAAGCTCCCTGACCTGGCAGTGGGTCTGATCCTGCTGGCTCTCTCTCTCTTTGGTTCTCTGCTCCTGCCTCATCCTGATCGTGAAGCTGCTCAACTCCATGCTGAAGGGGCAGGTGGCTGGAGTCATCAAGAAGATCCTTAACACCGGTGAAGAACATTAAGCACACACTATACACATTAAGTCCGGTATTGTGGATATGACTGCTTGTAAGAAACATTGTGTCTATGTTTTTGAGTTTTTTTTTTTTGTGTGTCCGCAGATTTTCCTTTTCCATTTGGATGGGTCACGGGATACATCGCCATCTTTGTTGGAGCTGGAATGACCTTCATTGTGCAGAGCAGCTCCGTTTTCACTTCTGCTATAACCCCGCTTGTTGGTGAGGTCAACCATCCATTCATAATTTTGAATAACCGTCTCAATGTGTTTTCCTTGAAAACACCTACAGTATGTACCATTGCACACTTGAGGTTCCTATAGGTACAGACTGTTTCTTACAATGAAGATGGGTTAGATACAATTCAGCGTGAACACAAACATTACCACACTAGCTTATTGTCCTTTCCCTGTTTTATCTCTAATTAGCTTAACTTGAAGTTAAGGTAACAACATTCCTGTTTAAACAGCAAGGTCATTGGATGTGATGTTAGCATGAGAGACATAGAAAGGCTGCAAAAATGTGTGTGTTAAGCAGTGTCCTGTTTGTCTGAATAGGTATTGGTGTCATCAGCATAGAAAGAGCGTACCCATTGTCTTTGGGGTCAAACATTGGCACGACCACCACAGCAATCTTGGCAGCCATGGCTAGTCCTGGAGACACACTGGCTAATGCTCTACAGGTCAGTGAATCATAACAACATTTTTAAACAACATGTAGAACCTTGTCATGTTGGCACAAGTTGGCCTAGTGGTAAGTTTGCACGCCCCATGTATAGATAAAGGTTTGTCCTAGAAGTGGGCGTCCCTGGTGCGGCTGGTGCAAACTCTTCCCAATTTCTTCCCAAATGTTTTTTTTTTTTAAACCCACTCTCCCCAAATTTCTGACTCTATCCATGGTCTCATTGAAAACATATTGTATCTTATGTCATTTTGGAAAACTCATATACTGTAGACCCAACTGGATTTTGCTTTTCATAGAAAACCTTTGGACTACTGGAAATTATTGTTATCTGAGTTATAAGTTAATTCATTGATTGTCAAGTCTTTACAGGAACTTCTTTATGAAATGAGCAGAAAACAATTGACTTGTGAATCCAACTGAGTCCAAAATTGTAATCAAATAACTAACTGAGACATATCAATACAGCCCATTTATTGACTTTTTATATTTTGACAATTTCTCCAGATTGCCCTCGTGCACTTCTTATTCAACATCTCCGGCATCATTCTGTGGTATCCGATCCCTTTCACCCGCATTCCCATTCGGCTGGCTAAAGGTCTGGGAAACATCACAGCCTCCTACCGCTGGTTTGCCGCAGTCTACATCATCTGCTGCTTCTTCGTTTTACCGCTCTTTGTCTTCAGCCTCTCGCTGGCTGGTTGGGAGGTGCTGGTGGGCGTGGGTGTACCTCTGATCGTCATGTTGATCATCATCATAGTGATCAACGTACTGCAGAAAAAGAAGCCCAGGTGTCTGCCCGCAGTGCTGCGATCCTGGGACTTCCTCCCTCTCTGGGCCCACTCCCTGGCTCCCTGGGACAAAGTGGTGGGTGTGTGCACGGCAAAATGCTGCTGCTGCTGCAAATGCTGCCAGGTCACAGCTGATGACCAAGAACATATAGAGAAACAATCAGCAAACAACAAGAAGAAACCATCCACAGAGGTGTACGATAACCCTGCAATGAGTGCAGAGAAGGAGGTGGAGAATGAGATAAAGGTAGAGCTTCAGATTCTGAAAAACACCCGGCTTTAAAACTTAATTTATGAACATATATGTGTGACAATATGAAATGTGTATTTGCCGGACCAAAGGGGAAACTGATCATGTTCATGTTGGGAATGGTTGTATAGGGAATTTCAATTCTTAGTGTATCAGGACAACAACAACAAAAAACAGTTGTGTGATGTTTAGAAGAAGTGGCCTTTAAAGGATAAGACGGATGGTAGACTAATGTTGTTTTTTAAATTTATTGTCAACAAATCTCATGGATAGACCCACACCAACAATGTGTAAGTCGCTATCTCTAAACTTTTTAACTTTTCCATTCTCTGTCTGGTCTATTTTTTTATCTCTACACATTCAGCTCCTGCAAAAGATGTGACTAAATCTTTAAACCCACCTGAACACTGCAATATTTTAAGAAAAGGCAAATTAATTTCCCAAAGGACGCTGAGCACAGCAACTGCCAGACATCTTTGTTTAAAGCAAAAGAAAATAGTTTATTTATTGGGCACACTTTTTATCTTTGGATTATGACTATTCTGCTGTGTATTTATGGAGGGAGTAATTCGACCAGCTTAATATAAAGTACATCATACTTGAGAAAATGTCCCACTGGCAATGGTGGGGCTCATGAAGGAGTTAGTAACATAGCTGGTATAAAACATGGAGGTAGTGTTAGTGATGTCACCTATCGGTTTCTGAAGAGGAATTATGAAGCCCAATGATGGAAATGCCATATTGGAAATGCTTTGCCCACCTTACTTTCAATGAATGTAGAACATTGGTTCAACCTGGGGTGCGGACTCCTTAGAGGAGGGCGTGAGGCTTTGTCGTCTCTGAGGTTGTAAAAATAGGATTTGCACATATTAACTAAAATCATGATAACACACACTTACATGATAGCTCAAGCAAAGGTCTTTATCTGAGAACAAGTGCGTGTAGGCCTATTCTGTCGGGATTTTATCTTTTAATTTTTTATTTGTTGCACTTCTGAATTGGCTTCATTTTCAACACCTGAGGTCATCACTTAGTTTTAACCACTAGCTGAGTTAGCAGCTCCACCATGATGAAAGAGATTCCTCTGCTCCAGTGTACTATAACTTAAAGCTAAAATTAATCAATAATTTGATTTAAGGTGATATTGCCCATCCCTTATTTATTTAATAATATTATAATTATTTATTTATTAAACACTGGCTTATTTAAAGGAAGAATGTGCAACTTTTTCATCTCATTTCATTTCATCTCTTTCCACTCACCTTCATATGAATGAGTTATCAATTACAACACACCATAATTAAAGGCAGGGTTGGTCATTTTCTAAAACTAGCATGATTTTGAAAGTAGCATTCCCTCAGTGCTCCGTCTGCACCCCCCCCCCCCCCCTCCGTGCTCCTTCAAAGGCCACGCCCTGCACTTACATGCACCATTGGTCCAGGAGCGGAGCTCAGCTCATGCTTTGAGCGTGGGCTTGTGGAGTAGAGAATGAGCAGGGAGGCGTGATTGGTTCATCAAATTGTTACCTCGTGGCAGACATTGGTCAAAGTTTTTACAGGCTTACAAACTGCTACAGATTGTTTTCAGAGCACATGAGTTATTAATGTCTGTCAATCAAAATCTTAAAAACTGTATCTGGAGATAATTACCAACCCTGCCTTTAACCACCATTAACTGCAAGCGACGGACAAAATTGTCCTGTGACCTGCATTGTTGTGTTAGCATGCTAATGTTAGCACACTTTGGTTAACTCATAGCTTCATATTGAACATAAATTGACACAGAATGGCTGTGATTTTTTTGAAAGAGGAGGCTGCATTTTGAAAGCGTGTGCTGTTGGTCTTTAGCTTATCTTCTATATTATGTTCATCTGTAATCTGTTCTGAAGAGGCTCTGGCATCAACGCACTTGAACTGCACAAAGAGTCCGATCTGCTGACACGTTTTTTTTTTTTTTTATCTTTTGAAGAAAAGAATGGACAGACTCTCACGTTGTTTCCACATTTCTATCAGGTGTCGTTTTGTGAATTTTTACAGGGGACACGTTTCTGTGTATAAAAGACAGTAATCCATAAAGCATCGTTTTAAGGTGTACAAAATATTTTGTAATTCAGAAGGATAATTGTATTCAAGGAATATAATTTAAAATGAGATGACTGTGCATCTAACTTAATGTTTTTAACTTGTATATTATGTCTCAGAAATACATGAATAATTTCAAAATAAAAGACTGAAAATGGTGCCTAATTCTACCTTCTACCACTCCCACCCTTAAGGAATTCAAGACTCATCATTTTAAATATGACTTCAAAGGAAAACAACTTTATTAAGCTGATAAGAGAGTATTTATTGCTCTCTTGTCAGTATTATCTGAAGTGTTTTTCTGAGAATGTGTGGGTGAAAGGACTTAACATGATACAAAAGAGAGACTAAGCTTACCATTTAGACATTAAAATAACAAAGTTTCATTAACCTTATCAACATCATTAATAGTGCTGGTGAAACATGTTTCATTTTATCAGAGGATTATGTAGATGTCTGCTTTTTGTTAATAACTGTTGCATTTGTTAGTTTTAATATCTTTTAATATCTGTCATGACTCGACTCTTAAGTCCTGACTAAAACCAGGGAAACATACAGTTTAAATTAATCTTGTAAAAGTTTATTAAACAGGATAACAAAAATAACAACTTACAAAGAAAGTGAGGTGTGTTAGTCAGTGAATCAGTGTGTCGGCTGTTCGGTGAGTGTGTGCGGTGTGTGTCAATACAGATAAGAAACTAAATAAGACCATACAGTAAAATGAGGATTATAAAATGAAACAGTCAATGCTCACACACGTGCTTCAGTTCCAGCCACTGTTTTACTTGTATTTTAAAAACCTTGAACTCTGTCAGTATTATTTTTTTTAAGTTTCAAACAGGGAAAACAATGGTTGAATAAACAGTTAGAACACCAAGGGGTTTCATTTAGTCAAATAAAAGCCGAGATTAAACAATTACTTAAGGAGTTAAAACATTAGAAAATCTGTTCACATGTGTTTTCATATGAAGGCCCAACACCGCCATCTAGTGGCAACAACGAGAACTGCAGTAGCTAAAAGTCAGCAGAGTACTGAATGAGATATTAAGATTGATAATGGCGTTGTTTTGTACCGTGACGTTCATTTGAATCATTAGGAAAATATCAAACATATTCTCAGAATAGAAAGTATTTAAGATACTTTATTCATCATTTGTTTGTTTTCAATGAATTATTTGTATGTAAAAGTGCCGTTTTCAATGAAAGTGTCTCCATTCTGTTGTTCACCTCAGGAGCAAATGTTTGTTGTCTTGGATACACAATTATGATAAATATTGTAGCTTGCTTGCTTCCTGAATAGCAGCCATACATTTGGACACGGGTTGAAAACGTTTTTGTCAGTCATACACCTGAGTAAGTAGTCCTTCATTAACACGAGGGACTTGGAAGATATGAATTATGACTTCCTTTAAGTTAGACATTAATAGAAGCTAATGTTTGTTTCCAATAAAGGCCAAAAGTTGAGTTAAAGAAGTTGTATTAACCCTAACCTTTTACATTCAGTCATAGAATATGTTATTGAACATGCTACACACTCATAGGCCAGATACACACACACACACACACACACACACACACACACACACACACACAGGAACGCACAAACAGGATGGCATAATAAGACACCGAGGACGATAACATGTGGAGAATAATTTATTATTTTAAAACCCAGAGGCAATTTGTGGTTACAGTCATTTCAGATAACTGATGTGCATTTCTCACACTGTACACTACAACTACAATCACTATCAATACACTACTACTAATCTACAGCGCTAAATCCACTGGTAAGATTAAGTACTTTTTAAAGCTATAGAAACAGTAAAGCACAATATTAAAACACAAAACATCAACATACAATACATTTGCATTCATAGCACCATTTATAAAACTAAATTATAAATGTGGACAATAATTAATTTCTTATTAATTTGGGGCGGCTATTGCATGCTTCACAGGTTTGTGTTTCCATGTGCCTCATTCAGTAAGCCTGCAGGAGGTGCTTTTTCTCATACAGCTCCATCAAAACTGGCCACAACTGTAGAGATTTGAGCCTAAAATGATCTCCATTGGCATCAAACAATGGGCCTAACTCATTTTTGTTGTTTGCTTTTTCTTTTCTTTTTTTTTCCCGTGATTGTCTGCTCCTTGTCTGGATTGAGAGTGGGGTGGTTGTTGTTTTATAAAAAAATGACAGCTTAAAAACAGTTCTTATGCAGGTAAGAAAAAAAGGAGGGTCAGGATTTGGAGTTTAGAAGGGGATGGGTCCGTAGTAGGCGATGTATGCTGCGACGATGCCTTGAGAGTCGGCCATCTCATCACAGTCCACGTTAACCTCGCACACCTCTCTCAGGCTAGAAAGCAGAGAAAAAACAAGTCAGAACTGTATATTGTTGCATGGTGAGTTGCTTTTATCCAAAAGAGTAAATCAACACACCTCTCCAGCTGCAGAGGGGTGAGCTCTCCTCCTGGGGCTCTTCTGCTCCTCAGGAGAACAGCCGCCAGGTCTCTCTTCATCACAATCGGAGCGTCCGTTTGGGCCGCCGTGTCAGCATCACCGTTTTGTTGTACTGTTTCACAAAAGTTTTTTAAGTCATCCTGAAGAAAAAAAGAAAAAAAAAAAAACATGCAAAGAATCTATCTGGTAACAAAACTGGAGGTTGCTTACCCTCAGCACTGGCTGACTCTGATGAAGATGATGAGGATGAAGAAGAAGAAGAGGAGGAATCAGATGCAGAGTCAGAGGCAGAGGAGTCAGACTCGGAAGATTCAGATGACTCGGAGGACTCAGAGGACGAGGAAGATGACGAAGAGGATGCTGAAGAGTCTGAGGACGAATCCGACTCGGAGGAGGAAGAGGACTCTGAGGATGTATCGGGGGCGGCGGTTCCTGGGTCGGCAGTTGCAGCGTCAGAAGCTGTGTCGGCCTCGGGGTCCACGATCACCTCCGGTTCAACAGCTGAGAATCACAGAAATATCACTTACATATAAGCCTGCTTATACTGATCTAGAAAACACAGAGGATTCATAGCAACATGATGGGTTTGTTCCTACCTCCCATGGACCAGCACACTGACAGCAGAGCAGAGATGAAGAGGAGAGTCAGAGTCTTCATGATGCCTGTTGAGTTTAGTCTCCGTCTGCAGAGAAGTTGCTTTGTTGATGCTCGCTTTCCTTTCAATGGATCACTCTGTTTCTTTCCCTGAAGTGGAGTTCAATATATACTGAAGTCCTCCTCTGTCAGTACAGACCAAAAACAATGAGATAACTCTCTGATTGGCTGGAGACTCAAAAGTCAACTTTTCCACTTCCACATGTCATGAGGGCAGACATAAACACCCACGCAGCCCTGGCACAGAGTCTGAAAAAATTATATCACCCGCTTACAAACTTACACGACCACAAACATTCCTGGTATTCAACTGTACTTACAGTGCAGATATGTAATCCTATGTGTATGTATGCACATATGTTAACCTTGTAGTGACATTAATTAAAGCCAGTCCAATCTAAATACTTTCACTTCAACATGCACACTCAGATTTGTATTTTCTTTAACGTTGAACCTGTTGATTAAATGACAAATTTAACTGCCTAATTCATATCTTTATTTAGTTTCTATGCATTTTTTTTAGGGAAAAAATGTGTTTTCCAGTCTTTTCTGCAACAATCTCCCTATCAATCAATTCCTGAGGTCAAACCAAATCATTTTTATACTCGTCTTGGTTACAAATTCATCCCCTTGGAGCTCTATTCAATCCTCACCCCTCATCACTGGAGTATAAATGCTGCTAAAAATCAAAAGAAGTGTGTTACTGATCTCTATATAAAATACCCTTATGAAGTGATTGGATTTTAATGAGGGAGACCCGCTGCAGGGTTGCCTTTCTAGCGCTGCAGGATGCCAGTCCTGCCGTTGCTGTTGTGCTACCGTACTCTTTGCCCAAGATATGATCGCCCTCCTCCACAAACCTCAAACTACAGCCTCAGTCGACCAAAAGCTCTAATCTAGTGACACGAAACAGCTGGATTCTGGTTATGCGACAGAGTTTAATTAGAGTCCCAGCAGAGCCGCAGCCGGTCACTATTTACAGACGCAGCTTGGCCCAGCGGCGGGGCCAGATCCAGGCACGGCCAAGGCTTACCAACAACAACCAACAGGCCAATGCATAGCCTTGCTTGATGTATTTTAGTGTATATACTGCTAAATATAGGTAACCCCCATGTGTTGGATGCACAGCTATATACATGTGGGTTTGGATGCAGCTATCTGTTCGTGTGATAGAGTTTAAAAGTGGTTTCAGCTGTGGTCTTTAAAAAAAAAAAAAAAGAAGAATTTCAGCTTGCAACATGACCCTAAACCAATCTACATCTTAAGTTGCGTACTACACATTTTTGCACGCTTATAACTTCACATAAATATATCTCACAGGGCCCCAGAATGTCTTCATCTGTCATGTTGTGAGAAATGTAGTGCTGCTGCAGAGTGACCTTGGTGTCCTTGGTGTTTCAGAGTGTTGCTTTATTCCTGGTTTTAGGGATTTGTTTTGGACCGTTCACTGTGTAATTTCGATGTCTGTGTGGACCCATTGGAGATACAGTTGGAGAAAATAACTGCCACAAGGTCCCTGAACAGCTCTGAAAAGAAAAAAAACAGTGTCTACATCACTTCTAATTTGGACGAGTTTGTTGTTTGTTGCGTTTTGGCTTCCAAATGGTTAATTCCAGACAGTGACTAATTTCTGTTGTTGTGGGTGTACTCACTTCCTGTCTGTCTGACAGGATTCAAACTTTGCTCTGCAGGTGCACACATTCAGTATGATGTACAGCTTTTAGTCTTTTTAAAATAAAATAGAACTTTATTAATCCCAAAGGAAATTCTCAACAAGCTGTCCCAACAACGTTGAGGGCTTGAGCTGTTCCAATAGGATGATAATGTTTTTTTTAAACCAACCGAGTGCCTTATTTCAATTTCATTTGTAAGTTCATTTGATTATATAAGTCTGTTGTCTACATTGTTGCTTCTCTTTCCTCTGTTTTCATGTGAGTTCATTTCAAACTTTTACAGGACGCTTTTAAGTTATTCAAATTGTATGGTACCGAATTTCCCCCTGGGATTAATAAGTATTTCTGATTCTGCTCATTTCAGTTTAGTAATGAAAGGGCAGAACCTCAGACCTTAAAGCTTAGTGAACATGATGTAGAACTGAGGAAGTTTTAGATATAATGCTCAAAGATCTTTATTGTTCATGTCAGCTTTGCTTCTCTTACATCAAAAATGTGCATGCCATACAACCTTTAAATTACAAGTTGCATGCATTCAGAATTTTCTTTTTAAAACCATGACCTCACTCTGCATGAGGATGCCCAGAACTCATTCTTTGCTGGTGGTAGTGAGCATGAAGCTGAGGAAAAGATTGTGTAATAAAAAAAGTGATGCAAATGCAGAGCAAAAAAATTATAGTTTTAACTCTTGATGTGTTTCTTTCTGTGGTGGAAGTAAAATAAGTGCTCATTAAAGAACGGTGCTTTTGTACAAAGTCAAGGTACATTTCTCAATTCTTTCCCACTAGCACTTCATTTATCTACCTCTTACTGCCCATACGTTTTAAAGACTACAATTTTAAAGCTTGAGCACTAACACTGCAGAGGTACTTCTGTTTTTCGTTTGGAAATTAGTTTGCCCAATTGTTACAAATGAAGCACATTTTTGAGGGCCTTAATGTGCTCAAAAACTCTAAAAACATTGGACGCAACGAAAGTGGTGCAAAAATGTACATTCTATATGGATTGTTCAAATGGGTGTTGCTAAATGGCCCCATAGCGACCCCTACAAAGTTTTGAATAAAGTGTGTTTCACCAGCACATACAAAATTAGATGGACATATATATCATGTCCTGAACAAAAATTCTGAAGAGTCTAAACTTTGAACTCAATAGGAAGTCCACTATTTTGGTTTGAAGTTGAAATGTAGGTGTATTTTTGCCTATTTCCAGGGGTAGTACTTAGATGAACTCCTCCTAGGGGATACATTTAATCAAGTTAAAATTTGGTGTACAGCTAAGTGGGTGTTAAATTACAGTTTCTTATCTTACTGTTTTTATGTAGTTAGTTTGGATTCCGGATGTTTTTAATTTAATTTTCTGTCCAAGCATTTTGCACCATTTTGATATTTTAAAGTGTTGAGTGGATGGTAGTTTTAATTGTCTATAGATATAAGGCCTTGATGATGAAAAGTTATAAAACTCATGTACAAATCTCAAACGCCATGGCCGTTGCAAGTCCTCAAATTTGCGTGTTGCCATGAAACAAGAAGGGGTTTATAACTTGGCTGTAGATACTCCAATCTGACCAAAAATGTACTTGTGTCATAAGGGCCCCAACCTGAACCCAATAATATGGCAGATAATTATCATTGCGCCACCTACTGGCAATAGTAGGTTTAAGTGTCTGTTTTCATGTACTGCCGCTCCATGCACCGGCTCGCTTCTGACTCTCTCTCTAAGGCTCTGAAGTGCCCACGTTCAGAGTCCCACGTGTGCCAATCTGATCTGATTGGTCGGCCTGTCGGCTCTGCTGTAATTGGTCAGTCACTCAGCATGGTTCTCGGAAATGTCCCTCCCCTTTTACCATATTGGGAATGCAGCCACTGGCTCCGTCCGAGGGTAGCAAATACAATAGCACCTTAGCACTACCGTGCTACGGCATGCTACGGCATATCATGGGCATTCTACAGAAGTTAACGGGCGTGCAACATGAGCTGCCGGGCTTGCCACTACGAGCCAATGGGCTTAGATCAGTGACATCACACTGACAAGACGTCACACTGGCAAAAAAATTTCGAGGGGGGCTAGAACTGAGCGTTACATGCAGCTAATAATACAGCTAACAGGAGGACGTAGGAGAAGCTGCGTTTTCGCTGACTTTGACTTTTTGCACATAGATGTGCCTAAACATGCACAGGACACTTGGAAAACACACTAAAGAGCATATAAAACCAGAAACAGCATATTTTTGTCAGAGGGCATGGCTTTGGGGGTTCAGCAAACAAAGCTCACCATGATGTCTCAACATAAAGCTGTCAAAACTCAGCCGTACATTATCTAAGAAATTCACAAAAGTCACAGTGTCACCTTCTGTCAACAGGGAGTCACTGCTTCTGAATGATTCTTATCAGGTTGGTTGAATCCAACTCAAATTTGATCATGCCAACCTTCAGACCTTCACCATGCTCCATTATAAAACCCATATTTCTACATTTGACACTGTTGCCATGGCAATGAAATGTCCAGTGCTTTTTGAGGGGCTAGAATTGGTACAATTACCAAACTTGGTAGAGATGAACCCAGTGAATAACTTAAAATTGTGATGTGGGTTTATTCAGTGGGTAAACAAAACAAAACAAAACAAAAAAATCAGCCCACAGTTGTTTAGCATGCCTCTTGTATTCAACCAATCAACCAACCAACCAACTAATCCCTCCCAGGGAATTAACTAGGTCCACTTCAGTTTTGGTATACAGTTAGAGGTGGCCTTTACGAGGATAATATATCAAAGTCCTGTTCATAAATCAAAAGGTGCCACCTCCGTGAAAGGCCCAATTAGATTTCACACGATGAGACAGGCTGTGGCTACAACTTCAAACTACTAGGTCCAAACTGAAATAGACTTCTGTGTCCGTCTGTTCTGTGTCTGATGAAGACACTGCGACTGCAGCACGCTCTTCATCTGTGCCACATTCTGTACCAAGTACTGGAGATTCGTGCATTGGAGGACAAAGAGCAATCTGGAAACATGTAGGTGAGAAGAAGAGGCGGACGTATTGACTTGATTACAGATGAGAAGCCTCTGTCTGCACAGGTGAGCAGAGTTGAGGTTGATGAGGTGGGCGTGGCTGACATGCAGAGTGGAGCAGAGGTGAGCTGGAAAATTGCTCGGCAGGGTCACAGAGGAGCTGTGACAATTTGATTACTGTTTAAGTAATTCCTTGCTTTGTTCATATTTTTATTATTAGTTGCCATTCCATAAAGTAACAATGATAATGAACTCCCCCCTCATAACAATCACACATTGATTACATTTACTTTTATTTTTAAGGACATTTTCCTGGATAA